GCCCAACTGGACAATCTTGCAGAATGGACAATCTTGCAGATTATCTGCAGCTGCCCATGAGGAACAATAAAATCCATGGATTTGGAGGAAACAGAGTCTGAAATATCCAACTAAGCCAATCTACTCGTCCTCCTTCTGCCTCAGGAGAAATTTTCAAGGAGCAACACAAAGCAGAAAACCAAATTAAATGTTCCAGTTCCCCTCCCAAGCTACCCCTTCACTATGGAGAAATCTCTGTGAAACAGATCAGTCAAACCAGACATTTCATTTCAGCAAGGAATTATGTTTCAAATTACCTGGGTATCAAATTAGCACAGCCTTTTCACTGCCAGGGAAAGGAAAGCCCTGAGCAGTTCACTGGGACACAAGGAAGTTCCCATGAAAACTCAACAGGTTTAATGAAACAGAGGTCAGAAACACCTCCCAGAGCTGAGCCACAGGTGCTGTCACATGGTTTGTGTGACAAGGACTCACTCCATGCCTTCAACCCCAGCACAGACAATACATTCAATTATTTGGAGCACATATCCACAGGCACATCAGAAATCACTGAATGGTTCGGGTTGGAAGAGACCCCAAATCCCAGCTCATTCCACCCCCGCCATGGGCAGGGACACCTTCCACTGTTCCAGGTTGCTCCAACCTGGCCTTGGACGCTTCCAGGGATGGGGCAAAATCTCTGTCCTAAGGAGTTAAGCATCACTTAGCCAGGATTTCCCTTTGGAAGAACAAACACCAGGGCTGCCTTTGCTTCCAGGACCTTTTTAGAGGCTCTTGCCACAACTTTCAGGCGAGCTCTGGCCACAGTTACTGCCAGCAGCACCCAGCATTGCCAAACGTGCTCAGATCCAGCTGCTCCCAGGACAGGAAGGAGCCCGGCTGGAGGAGCTGTGCCCCACGAGGGCAGCTGCCAGAATTATCTCCTGCCTTTGCCTGAATCCAGCTCCCAGTGAAGAACTCACATGGTCACACTGCCAAAAGGCAAAACGGAGCAGAAACCCCAGTCCCAGCCCTGTTGTGCTGACTATTCTTCACCAACTCCATGTGAAAAATTCCCCACATTCAACGAGACCATCCCTGCAGAGTTCTATTGTCTCCAATTATTAATTAAACATGCTCTGAGAGAAAGCAAATGCCTCAAATCATTTGCTTCTACCAAGCAACTCCCACACTACCCGAGTGCAATTCCGACAGTCTAAGCATATCCAGTGACTGCAATTCCAGAGGGACACCACCACAGAACTCTCCCTTCACTCCAGTTCAAGCACACACACGCACGAGCCACGGGAGACCCCAGCCAAGAAAACCCAGCCAATTTTCCTAAAAACCTGCTCAGTGTTGATAACTTGTCTCAGCTGAATATCCCAAGTGTCTTTTCACCGCCCTCAGGAGCAGCAGAGGCTGTCTGGGTTTGTGAGGAGATCTGTGCAACCTTTCATAACCAAGGCAGACCCAACCCGGGCCCTTCCTCACCTGGAGCCATCCTGTGCCCTCCCTCCACGATGTCCTGATCCCTGCCCGTGGTTTCTGCAGGATAAACAGCACACAAACACTCTCCTGCAGTCAGGGGAACGCTCTGCCCAACACCAACAGGCATCAGACAGCCTAAACCTGCTCACTCCAACATTAAAATCACTGGGGACCCTGAACCTCAGCCTCATCCTGCTGCTTTTTATGAATAAAAAGAGAAAAATGTCCAGTTTAGTGTCTTCCATGGAAGTTTGGTGATTAAGGATTTGGAGCTGCAAACAGCTGGGATTTTGCTCAGGAGAACTGAGAGACCACATTAGGAAATCAAAAGTCTGATTCCAGCATCTTCAGTGTCTGCAGGGACAAAGAAAATCTTGCAACACAAGTTTTTTTTGTGTGGATGGTGAAGCTTTGACACCTAAATTTGTGAAATGACAGGGGCATCTTTAATTGCTTCATTTTATATAAAAACCTGGCCCCAAACACACCTTTCAGAGGAGACGGGGAAAACGCAACAGGAAAAGAAAGTTTCTAAGCAAAACACAGACACAGCAATTTCCTGCTGCTCACAAGGAGAGGATACCACCAGGAGGGAGCTTCTCTCCCCCCTTCCTTGGGAGAAACTTTTCCTTAAGCCATCCCTGCTAAAGCCACTCTCAGCCCAATTCCCAGAGCTGCCAGGAGGGAAAGTGACCAGGAGGAACAGCACAACGAAACCCAAGGAAAATCAGGATATTGCAGCTCAGTTGTGACTCACAGCACTCCTGGCTGTTCAACACCACCATGAAATGTCATCACTTGGTAAAAGCCACGGCAGTGTTATCACCAACAGACACACGTTTGTCTACACATGCAACAAAAAGAATCTGGGATTCAACAATTAAAATCTTTCTACCTTTAATTACGACCTCCCAGGCTCTAGGCAGACATTAACCTATATTAACTGATAATTATTTTTTTTCTGACTTCCCATTATCTTTTAGCTACTGAGTTTCCTAACCAGTCTTTAAGGCTGGGCCCTCACTGAACCATCTCTGAAAGTCCAAAATGAAAAGTACAGTAATAAAAGTGCATCCATAAGAAACAGAGTCAGGAGACATCCCTAATGATTCCCTACCTCCCTGCATTTCCCAGCACTTCCTTCCACTTCTGTTCTTGCAGGCCAAATTCAATTCTACCCCAGCTAAACCCAAACTGAATGAAATCATTTTGCACGCATATGATTAGTCCTTGCTCCAAGGAATTTATAATTTAAGCAGCAGATGTGGAGGTGGCCAAGAAGTCAGAAGAATGGCAGTGCTAGGATTACACATATCCTGCATTCTGCTTCCCAGGAGTAAAACCCTGAGGCAAGCAGAGACCCATGGAAAAAGAGGGATGGAGCACCAAACTCTGACAAAAGTGCCCATCAATCACTGGGGCACCCAGTACCGAACAAGACAGAGTGCCCCACCTCAGAGCTCACCTGGAAGAAATTACAGACACAAAGATTGGTTTGGAGATGAGCACTGAATGCAGAAACGTTGGAACTACGGCTGCACCTCATTTATCAGAGTGTAAAAGCCAGCAGGAAGCAGAACAGATAAAAACCTCAGTGTTAATTCTGGCCTGGTGGGATTTCCTGAGCCTCAGCTCACGGAACTCACAGGGGAATCGGAGAGCATCGCACAGAATCATCTGTGAGCTCCATCCTGCAGGTCTGATCTGTCCACACAACCTTCTCACCGCTGTCCTGCTGCCAGACAACACAGGAACTGGATTTGAGAAGTTCATTTAAACCAGCATATGTTAATGAGCTTTCCTTTCATTAAGTGGTTTATTTATTAGGATCATTTCATTCCACAAGTTACTGAAGAAAATCAAGCTGAGCAACACTTCTGCTGACAACAGGACAAGCCTCTGGATCCGGCAGGATTCTTTTGTTTGAGTGAAAGTTTAAGTCCTTCCATTATTAAATAAATAAAAGTACAAATACCAGCAGAGTTTTTAATGACTGCAAGCTTGGAGTGCCCTGTCCCCACGCCCCTTATCTCCAGTGAGTTTTGTTGTCTTTGCTTTCAGGGATTTGCAGTAAAAGGAGGATGAAAGTGTGAGCTGGAGGAAAAGAGGATTGAGAATTTATGACATCATTTTAATTCATGAAGTCATCTTGCCACAAAATGCCCAAACAATAGCAGGCCCTGCCCAGGCATCTCCACCCCTCCATGGCTGCTTTGATTTGAAAAACCTACAAGTTTGCAGGAAGAAATCCTTGCTTATGGTTTCTTTCAGAACTTAAAACATTAATATCTCTGGCACTGATGTCTCTTGAAGCAAGTTTTACAGTTAGTGACTGAAAACTTGGATAATAAACAGAAAAATTACATCTGTTTCAATGCAGCTATTTCTTCTGAATTGATACCTAAATACTACATTTCTGCATAAGGGAATAACAACAATATTTTTCTAGCTATTTAGCTCATATTGCAGTATTTTATGTGATTTTTCTTCCAGAACAAATTAACAGGGCACTTGGGTTTATTTCTTTGTTGATGTACACACTGCCTTCAGTGAGGCTGCAAAATTCCCTGCAATGTTTGCTTTTAAATGCTCTGGTTGGCAACACATCCCCTGGGGAGGCACAGCAGAGAAGCCAGGGCTTGGCCGCTTTGGTTCCAGAAACTGGAGGCAGGAGATGTTCACAAAGGTTGCAAAAGCTTTGTGTCTGCTGCCCTGGCAATATTTGTGGGGATCATTCTGCTTTAAAATGTGCTTACACTTGGGTTCTGCTGCCTCGGAGAGGAAGCACTCATGTCTTTGATGAGTGAGCTACAGGTCACAGACAGAGTGGAGTGAGTCAGCCACTCATTTAACTGCAGCACAAGTGACAATGCAACTGCTGAAAAGACTTCTAGTAAACACCACTAGCACACAGCCTGGCCCACCACCCCTCTAGAGACTGAGTGGCTCTAAGAAGTTCCTAAAACCACTGCTTGGTGACACTCTTAAGGCTGCTCATCTCAGTTCAGCTACACATCATCAACACCTTCCCCTGTACACGATAACCATAAAAACCCAACCCCAAAGCAAAGAAATCCAGTCAAACATACCACCAGCAACTTCCACTCCTATGTTTTCCAATATCGGGAATGGTAAAAGCCCAACCTACATGCATTGGCAGTTTTGTAATACCATTACATAAGAATTATTTAACTACAGCAACAGATTTGAAAAGCAGCAGCAACAGCAGTCACGGCTATCTATGCTGGTTCACACATCAGAAAAAAAAATCAATAAAGGGAGTGATGAATTTTGTAAACATGCATTCGACTGTCACAGGGAGTGCATTGGGATTTGGGATTTCAACAACCCTCAAGTGCAGAAACCTTTCAACTCAGAGCCACCAGGGCTCTGCCACCCTGAAAAGCGAAAACAAACAGCACCAGTGCTGCCACTCCAGCAGAACCAGCTCCAGCTTTAGAAGAGCACCATGAAAAGCATCTCTGAGAAGGCTGCAGGGTTGACTTGGGAAAGCTGGGATGGTTTTCTACCTGATGCTCTGCATGGATGTTGTCCCCGGTGGGCCAGCGGTGTTTGCTGTTGTTGTAGCCGCCGCCGCCGCTGCCTCCTCCCCCGAGCTGCTCCCCGTGCTGCCTCTGGAAGAAATAATCCACCATGGCGTCGTCCTGGGAGCGCCCCGCCACTCCTATGGATCCGGGCACGGGGCTGGAGTGTGTCCCTGCTGCAAGGGCCTGGTTTGCAGCTGGCTGTGGCTGAGCCTGCGAGCCTGTGCCAGATGTCAGTACCACAGGCATGGTGGGGTTGGCTGTGTCTTGAGCGTGCTGCTTCAGGTGGGGGCTGAACGAGTCCTGCCACAGAACTGCTTTTCTCTTCAAAACGCACGCTACGCTCATTCCACCAACACCTGCAGGGGGACATGGGGGAAACAGAGGGGAAAGAGACATGAAATCCTCCCAGCTGCAGCTTTGAGCATTAAATAACACACCCATCTTGTGACTGGCAGGGGAACATCGCTGTGGCAAAAGCGACTCCTCCAACACACACTGGCTCCGTGAACCCATTAGCCACAACAGCACTGAAAACAAACACAGATCCCACCGAAAAGGCACAAAGATCCCAGTGAAAAGGCACAGAGATCCCACCGAGAACGCGCACAGATCCCACCGAGAACGCGCACAGATCCCACCGAGAACGCGCACAGATCCCACCGAGAACGCGCACAGATCGCACCGAGAACGCGCACAGATCCCACTTTCTGTGCTGCACGGGCTTAACAGGATGTACAGGATGCCCACGAAGCAGCAGCACAATGGCAATTCCTGCCAGGGACAACACACTGACTGGAAAACTCCTGGGAAAAAGCCCCCAAAAATCCCACGGAAGGCAGTGACACCACAACCTGCTGTGCCCATCTACACCAGGCACAAGAGGCCTGGTCCCCCATCCATATAAACACTCAAGGCCCCTGTATCCCACTGTATCCCACAGTACTCCTCAGTCATGCAAAGCAGCAAAGCAACAGTTTGGTTTGGTTTTTGTTTTTCAACGCAAACTGAAAATCCTGGATTTCGTACAGCTCATGGAGCCCAAATACAGCGTGTGCCCTCCCTGCTTACTCAGGAGCTGTGCTCAGGAGTCAGTAAAACCCATGGACAAGCTTTATGGAATTCCCTGGAGAAAGAACAGCAAACCTGGGACCTGGACTCTCAGCAGAACTTTCTAGAGAAGGCACAGCCAGCACTGCTGGTCCTGCTGTTGATGGCACTGGGGGAAATCTGTACAACTCCAACACACTTTCAGTGCCCAGAGCACTGACCACCCCAGTAAAATACCCCACTAAAGAAATACCCCATATGTCTTGCACACATCCAAATGACCTGCAAGCTGGAGGAAAGCCTGCAGATTAAGTTGACAGCAACTCACTAATTTCCTATTCCCCAAATATTTTGATAACATTCCAGCAGCACAAAACCACAGAAGTTTGTTTGTTATTTTAAGGTAGGACTATCAGAGCAATAGAGACACTACAGGTGTGAACAGCAAAATGTTTTCCCCCCCTTATGTAACACTCACACAAGCCAAATTCATTTTTAAAGGCATGGGATAGTCTGAATTAATCTTCACTAAAAAGATCAACAGTTTATGACTTGAGGTACCTAAGTGCAGCCCCACAGAGAGTTCTGAGGATGAAATCGGGGTGGTGGAGCCCTGAGAAGCTCCTGGCAGAGCAACCCCAGGATGTTCCACTGCTGTACCTCGGTGGCTGCAGAGCTTGGCCCTGCTCCTGCCAGCGGCTCCGAGGGCCTGAAAGGCGGCTCTATTCCCTCCCTGCTCCCCGTAGTGGCCCTGAACAACACCCTACTACAAACAACTTCCAAGAACAATTTACTGATGGAGGGGAGACCAAAAAAAGAAATCTGAGTCCCATCTTTGATCAGACTTTGTCAGGTTTGCCCCACGAGTCGAGCATGGGGTTAATACTGAGAGGAAAATGACTCTGAAAACTGCAGAGATCAGGTTGTTTTAATTGCACCTCCAACATAATTTGGTGCTGCACAGACAAAGCCCCCAGGGCCACTCTGCAGGGCTTTTTATACACTCACAACTTAAATACCAGCGACATCCAACAGGACTCACTCCTCCAGCTTTCAAAGAGTCTGGAAATCACCACCTTCCCCACATACTTGAAAAAACACTGAAAACACGATATGACTAAATCTTGACTGATTTTAAGGCTACAATTCAGTTTAATGGCATTTTCCTCTTAACTCCCCCTTAGCAAACAATATCAAAATCCTTCAGTAATATCACATGAAGCACTCAAGGTCCTCTACGCAAAAAAGAACAAAAAAATTAAATAATTAATGGCAAGAAATTCATTTATCATCAAATTGAGGTGTGTATTAGCTGCAGCAATGAAATCTGAGCAGCCCCTTGAAAGGAAGTTACAAGTTATCTCAGGGCAGACTGTAAAAAAAAAACAAACAAACAAAGGAAGATACTATGAATCCCCACCAAAAAATTTCCAGTATCTATAGATTGTGACAAGCCCTTTTACAGTAAGAAACAAGGTACAAAGTCGCACTGCCACAGTCTTTGCTCCTTCAAAAGGCTGCGGATCCCTCTGTCCACATACGCTAATTAATTTCTGAGTTAATAAAGCTGTTATCTTAAAAATCAGGAGGGTCCAGAAAATCTCAGTCAATGGATTAAGGAGAGGCTGCTCCCAGGCGCTTCCTCTTTGGGCTGCTCCAAACACGAGCGGAAAACTTGGCAAAGGCGACATTTTGCAAGGGAGCAAAGGGGAAGGGAGCATTGTGGGTAGTTCAAGTTTAGTTCCAAGCCGTGTTTTTATGGGAATGCCGCGATCGAGGCAGCAGCGGGACAGCTGAATCCTGTCATTCAAAGCTGCCGGAGCGCCGGGAATACGGGCAGCCACCTACACAGGCAAAGCCGCAGCTGCTCAGGGCCTCCGGAGCCTCTTGCATTCCCAAACTCTTCCTAAACACAGGATCAACTTTTCCCAGGTGAAACCCCGGGCTGGCAAACAAAGGCTTCCACGCTGCTCCACCGCGCTCAGGGCCGGCGGCTCTGCTCTTCCCTGGGTGAAAACACGGCGTGGAAACGAGCTGCTCCGTGTTGTCACTGCAGGCAGGACACTGCAGATTACGGGACGTTCCACAAACAACAAAAAACTTCGGAGGAATCTCCCTGAGAGTTTGAAGTACCGGTGGTGACAACACCAAATAAAGCAGCTTTAATCCACACAGAGCCCGGCTCCACAGCCAGATCCCGCCGGCTCTGGTTCCGTATTGCTCTCAAAATCACAGATTATTACAAAACTAACGCGGTGTAAAACGCCCGTTTCAAAAAAGTTCAACCCCAAAGCGGAGGAGTTTGGGTTGGGTGGGTTTTTTTTGGAAAGTTCCACTGGAAATGAAAGCAGAGCCATTGTTTGAGAGCTCTGTGGCCTAGCAGAACTTTTAACGTTATCCCTGTGTTCTCCTGAAAACCTGGGGAGCCGCAGCACTGAATGCCTGACCCATCGGATTCCCAAAAGCAACATTAAAACCAAAAAGGACCCACGGTCCCCCTTTCCCCCCACCTCCATCCCTCCTAATAAAGGAAATTCCTTACTCATGATCTGCCTAATAAAATCTCTCTGCTCCGAACAAAGTTATTAAACATTGACCAAAGCAAACAACAACAATAACAACAACAAAAAAAAAATCAGAGCGTTTCTCAGGTTGGGCCGAGAGGCTCTTAAAATTCCAACTTTGCAGCTCACAAGGGCCGAGGCTGTCGTTATGTGAGCACGAGATAAAAACAAGGGGGGAGAAAAACCCCACACAAACACAAAACCCCCAGGGTCACCCAGCACATCTGAAAGGATTGTTTGCTTTTTTCCTCCCTCCCGCTGCCAGCCCCGACCCTCTCCTCTTCCAGGGACCCCCAGAGCCGCCGAAACCCCCCCAAAACCTGGGGGGATGGAACCCAACAATCCCCCGGAGCCCTGGGGGCAACAAAGCGGGGTCTCGGCCGGAGCCACAGAGCCCCCCGGGATTGAAGGCCCGGGACAAGGGAGAGCCCCCCCGCGATCAAACCGCTCCAGGAGAAAGGGGAGACCCTCCCGAGGAGAAGGGGGAGCCCCACAGACCAAGGGGCAGCCCCCGGCGGGCCGGGCCCGGGGCAAGGCGGGTGAGGGCTGCGATGGGCCCGCGCCCCCCCAACAATAACCCCCGTCCCCGTTACCGGAGCGCCCGCGGGGCCGCGCTCGGGGCCCGGGGGTCCCCCCGCGCCCCCTCCCCGCTAACAATGGGCCCAGGCCGCGGCCCCGACAGGGAGCCGGGCGGGAGCGCCGGCGCAGCGCCCCCGTCGCCGCTCGCCTTCGGGGCGGCCTGGGGCCTCTCCTCCCGCGCCCCCCGCCAATATGCGCCCACGGGCGGGTCCGCGGGGGTCCGCGGCGCCGCGGAGCCGGCCCCGGGCCGGTACTCACGGGCGGAGCGCTCGGATGCAGACGGATGCCGGGCCCCCCCCGGCCGCTCGCCGCTGCCTCTCCCCGGCCGCTCACTCCGACAACATGGCGGCGCGGCGGGGCCGCGGCCGCGCTGCACCACGGGAAGGCGAGGCCGCTCCAGCGCCGCCGGGACGGGGCGGGATGGACCGGGAAGGGCCGGGACGGGACGGGGATCGGGATGGACCGGACCCGACCTGACCGGGACGTGCCCAGGCTGTTCCCCGACCCTGCCACACTGCCCAGGCCGGGGTCAGTCCGCAGCGCCCCCCCAGCGTGGCCCCTGCCCCGGACGGGGTGCGGGCATAGCCCCGCCTCCAGCCCCGCGCTGCCGCTGGCACCGCCACCAGCGCTCGCCGGGCTGGCGGGGATGGATGGGGGTGAGTCCCCCTGCCTGGGAACCCTGATTTCCCCGCTAGTCCGGGCATCCTGAACGCTCTGCACCCCACTGCCTGGACATCCCACAGCCGCCGAGCCCCCCCGGCCTGAGCGCCCCGAGTCCCCCCAGCCTTGGCACTCCCAGCTTCTGCACAGCGAGCCTCTCCAAGCCGGGACATCCTGAGCCCCCCCGGCTGGGCAAGCTCGACACCCCAAGCCTCCCAGCCTGTGCACCCTGAGCTCCCCAAGCCTGAGCACACCGAGTGGTCTCCGTCCGAGCCCACTCCCCCCAGCCTGGGCATCCTGAGCTCCCGGAGTCCCCCCAGCCTTGGCACTCCCAGCTCGTGCACACCGAGCCCCCCAGCCCGGTCCCCCCGAGCCCCCAACAGCGGTGATCCCCCTCCTGCCCCAGAACCGCACCGGGGGCACCGAGCGCCGGCTGCACCGCGGCGCCTCCTCACCCTCCACCAACCGCCAAACACAATTTTGGGGCGCTTCTCCCTTCGTGCCTCCCCTTCCCCACGTCCCCTGCCCACAAAGCCGGGGTTGCGGGGAAACTACAGCCCCCGGCGTGCGGCGCTGGGCGCGGAGCCCGGGCAGGGCAGGGCGGGCGGCGCTGGCCGCTGGGAGCGGTAGTTCTGCCCCGGCTCCTCCATGTTAAAGGGGCAGCCCTGGGCAGCGCCTTTGTGCCCTCCTGCCCCGCCGTGCTGCGCTCCCGGCGCTGTGCGGGAGGCTGAGCGCTTCATGCTCTCATGGAATATTTTCTCCCCGTCTTGGCGAGGCACGCAGGGAATCAGGAGGGAAGTGCCGGCGCTGGGGAGAGCTCGGGACGTGCCCTCACTTGCACGGAGACAGAACCGGCAGCTGTTCCCAAGGGCTCCGGCCGGCCGTGGGGCACAGAGCCCGCGGCGCGGGCGGGTCTCCGCGGCCGCAGCTTTTGTGGGTTATGAGGGTACAAGAAGTCACTTCATGCCCGAGTTCTCGGTCGTTAAAACACGTGCAAAGCTGGATCAAGCCGTGCCTTGCATCCATTTTCTGCTCGATAGGCTGCCGGGGTGATTGATGGGTGCTCCACCACCTCACCGCCTCTTCCAGCGTGCACTGCCTTGTGGGGCAGCAGGACCTCACCCCAAAAACCTGGGGAAACAAGGCTTGGAGGGTTTGGTGCTGGGTGCCCCAGGCCGGGCGTGACATGACAGTCAAGATAAACAGCGAGAAAAAGTTTTCACTGCTGAGGGTGGGTTTGGAGCCGAGACACCCAGAGGTGGCTTTGGCCAGCAGCAGTCTGGCTTGTGTGACCTGGCCAAGCCCTGCTGGGATAAACTCGGCTCTGCTGGGCTTGGCTCTACCGGGTTGAGCTCTGCTGTGATAGCGAGCACGGACCCACGCGAGGCTGAGAAGTGAACATGGCTCTTCTGGGTCATTCCTGTGGCTCCAGTGTCTTGAATTCCATGGAGAGGGGAAGGGGCTGGGGAAGGAGTCCTGTGAGGAGAGGCTGAGGGAGCTGGGAAGGGGCTCAGCCTGGAGAAAAGGAGCTCAGCGGGGACCTTGTGGCTCTGCACAACTCCTGACAGGAGGGGACAGCCGGGGGGGTCGGGCTCTGCTCCCAGGGAACAACATGAGAGGAAATAGACTCAGGTTGTGCAGAGGGAGGTTTGCGTTGCATATCAGGAAAAAATTGGATATCAGGCATTAGCACAGAAAGTGAAACCACGACCCCTGAAAGTGTTCAAAAACTGTGTGAATGTGGAATCTGAGGATGTGGTTTAGTGGTGAACATGGCAGTGCTGGGTTAATGGTTGAACTGGATGATCTCAGAGGTGTTTTCCAGCATCCCAAATATTTCCATGATTCTGTGGGGGCCCATGCAGTGTCCCCAAAACACCAACAGTGTGGCCAAGGCCAGCCTCTCGCTGGGGTAGAAATGTGAATGGTGGAACTGTGTCATCTGGGCACTGGACCAACTCAATCTGCCTGCACACCCTTCTCCTCTGGTTCCACCCATCTCCTGGGCACCCTGGGCTGATACAAGGCACCAGCGATGGCTCCTGGCTGACAAAGATTTGGGCTGCAAAGCCTGAGAGGTCAGGAGTTCTTTCCCACACCATGTTCTCACTGGGGACAGAGGGCCCTGCACTTCTTCTGGCCACTTTTGGGGTGTTGTACCTGCGAGCTGCCACCCTCAGCACCCCACCAGGCTGTCCCTGAGCTGTCCTGCTGGCGGTGGCCCCTGATGTCCCCAGCAGTGCTGTCCCTGTGCTGTGAGGCAGAGATAAGAGCTCTGCCAGGTGGGCTCAGTACACACCCAGGCTGCTTGCTGACACTGGAAACGTGCTTTCTATTAATTATACCTGGGATAATTATGTTATGCCAGTGTAATGAGAGGGGGAGGGAAGGAGTCCTGCTGGGCATGAAATGTGAGTGGTTCAAACCCTCATTTCCCAGTGAATTTTGCCGGATTTAGGGAGAAGTCCTGCGGTTGTGAGGCTGAGGGGGAGTTTGGGTCTCATCTCCAGCACTTCCATCTCTCCCACAGCCTCTCCTGCCTCCCACCACTGCCATCCTCTCTTCTGCCTCAGACCTTGCCCAAGCTCCCAGCTTGTTGCCATCCATGGAAAAGTCTCCCACTGGGAGAACATGCTGCTCCAAAAGCTTCAGAGCCAGAGTGAAAGGAACAGGCAGTGAAATAACTTCCACCTCCACAGGAAAAACCTTCTGGGGGTGGAAATGTCCTTCTGATCTTCCTCGCACCGTTGGCCACCAAGAGCTGCCCTGGCTGACTCCATACCAGTCCTGACAGAAGTTATCCTGAGATACATCTTCATCTGCAGAGGGAAAAAGGGACCTCCAGGGAGTGACCGGTGTCCTCCCACCTCCGAATGACTCCCTAGAAGGGCTTTTCTCCCTCCATGCCCCACAGAAGGGGCTTCAATCCATGGTGTTCTTCACTGAGCATCAAAATTCCACATCCCCACCAAAAGGCCAAATCCAGACCCTCCTCCCCTGCTTTGCCCAGATGCTGTGCCCAGTGGCACGATGCCCAACACCACAGAATCTTCTCTTTAAAGGAGTCTAAGAGCAAACAAACCCAGCTCTGCTGCCGTGATTCATCCTCCTGGGAGCAGAGCTTCCCACAGCTCCACAAGGGAGACACCTGCACAGGACAGGGGGTTCACCTGGGAGGAAACACAGGTTGGGGGGCTCCTAAAAGTGGCTTCAGTGCTGCCCCAGGGAGGCCTGGCTGGCCCCAGACTTGGGGTATCCAACACTTTTATTTCAATGACAATTTGAGGCCTGCAATTAAAAGCTAAATTGAAGGAAAGAGGATCTCCCCCTGTGTAGGGCACCAACATTTCCTTGGCCACCAGAAAAAAAAAAAATTAAAAATTCACTGACTGACTCAATTTTTCCCAAGCCAAGCCAAAAACTGCTGAGGTCTTTATGCAGAATATTTTCAGAGTGTGCTGGCTTGACCAAAAAATCCTTGCAGAGCCAAGTGCATCATTGATTTACATCACTGGGGCCGCATTTCGTCAAAGCCCGGAGCCTTGAGACACACAACAATGACCAGCCCTGAGCTGGGCAGCTCCAGTGCTGCTCCTGAGCACATCCACTGCTCCAGCAGCTGCTCCAGACCCCTGAAATCAGGGGCCTTCCCAGTGCCACCTTCATGGAAACGCTTCCTGAGCTGGACCTGTCACCAGTAGTGGCCAGGGAAGGTCCCTGGGCTCTGCAACAGCTCTGAGCCATCAGATAAACCCCTGCTTTCCACCGACACCCCTCACCCACGGGCTTCTTTCCACGCTCGTGTTGAGACACCCAGAGCAGATGGTTTTTTTTTTTTCAGGAGTCCCAGCCAAGCGTCTAAAAGCGGCTGCTGAAATGTTGTGGTTATGGAAAGCTGCAGGGAGTTCTGGCTGCGGACCCACCTGGCAGCAGCAGGGTCTGAGAGTTTGGTGTTGGCTGTGGAGCAGCTTTTTCTTGTGAAAATACAGCCCCCAAAATTAAAGTTTTTAAGCATCTCCCACCCACCAGCTGGGCTTAGGGCTGTGGTGAGCCGTGCATGGAGTCCCCAGTGCTCTGGGGTGTCCTGAGGCTGCTCAGATCCCACTGATTCCTCTCTGTGTTCAGGGGAGCTGCTGGCAAAGCTATGCCACGTCCCATGGTGAGGAAAGAGCCATGCCAATGCCTCTGCTTCCCAGGGGAATGGGCTTCCAGCACAGGAGGGGCATGGAGCCACTGGACAGTCCAGAGGAGGACACCAGGATGGACAGAGGGATGGAGCAGCTCTGCTGGGAGGAAAGGCTGGGAGAACTGGGGTTGTTCAGCCTGGAAGACAAGCATCTTCCAAATTGTGACCAAATAGTGACAAATTGTCACCTTCCAGTGCCTGAAGGAGCTACAAGAAAAGTGGAGAGAGATTATTAATGAGGATTTGGGGGGACAGGACACAGGGAATGGCTCCCACTGCCAGAGGGCAGGGTTGGATGGGATATTGGCAAGGGGGAATTGTTCCCTGGCAGGCTGGGGAGGGGCTGGGCTGGAATTGCCAGAGCAGCTGTGGCTGCCCCTGGATCCCTGGCAGTGCCCAAGGCCAGGCTGGACATTGGGGCTGGGAGCACCTGGGACACTGGGAGGTGTCCCTGCCATGGCAGGGGGTTGGATTTAGATTTTAAGGTCCCTTCCAACACAAACCATTCCATGGTTCTGTGATCCCAGTGATGTCCTCTGCTGTCCCTCCTCCTGTTTGTCACAGCTCACGGAGCCACTGCAGGAGAAGAGAGCCAGAGGCTGGCAGTGAGATATGCCCTGGATAAGTGGGGATAAACCCAGGATGGATTTATGGGATCCATAAATCCAGGATAAAAGACA